AAAAATACAACAATTAGGAAAAGTACAAATAAGGGGGACAATAGCACCGGTATTGTTACCCATATACCTTGGCTATATAATCACTCCTCTGCGCCTCACATTTCCTTATGATGATAGCCTCATGTAGAGGATTCATGGTGTAGCTGCCGGCAAAGTCTCACGAGGGCATATAATCTCATAGCCATGTGGATATTGTTCTAAAGGCATAGGACCAAGGCAACTCAAACCGGGCTAAACCTTACCTTACTAATCCTATTGAGACAAAGAAAATGATTAAGTTTTTAAAGTTTGCAACGGCTAGTTTTTTGACTTATTTAATAAACTTAAATGTTAAAACGGAAATTAGAAAACTAAGTAAAGAATTATAAAATATTAAAATAAAAGACTTGTAATGAAATATTCTAGTAATTATAATAGAGTTATAATTTATTTAATATAATTTCAAAGTATTAAGTAACTAAGACAATTCATACAAAAAATTCAATGCTTAGAGCCTTTTATTTTATTACTCTAACTTTCAAATCTCACATACAAATATAATTCTTTTGAAGAGCACCTAATCTATGCAACCACCTTCTAGGAAGGGTTTTGTTTGAACTAGGCCTCTTAGTAGCCAATTACAAATTATCATACTAATATTTGTAAGCTCCTATATAGCTTCTTTGTAACTTATCAATAATTTCTCTCAGACATTGTTCTGGAATTGGCAATGCTGATTGATGTTCCATGAGCTCCATGCCGTCATCACTCCCAGTGCTAAGTATCTCATTGTGTTCTTCTTCTTCCCTAGTGGTTAATTTTTCAAAACCAAGATTTCTTCTTTCTGAATTAATCCAGTCTCTGAATAATACGGAAATCTCTAGACTGTCCTCCGCTAATGAATGTCTATGTTCTCCAATTTGAAATCTTGCTGCGCTAAAGCACTCTCCGATGCTACTGATGATGCTTGAATAGACAGGATATCTCGGGCCATTATTGAAAGTGTTGGAAAAGCCTTGCCACGCTCCCTCCACCATGCCAAAAGTTGTTCGTTGCCTTCTTCGTCTTTAATGCTTTCCAATCCTTGATTAAGATAAGAATCAAGTTCATCATCAATAGAGGAATCAAAACTTGTTATATCATCCATTTCATTCGATAAAACTTCTGCTCTAGACTTAGAAGTAGAAGGAGAAATTTCACAACCTGTTGTAAGCCACAGACAACCACCATTTTTGCTAAGTTCTCACGATTTCTATCTTTGTTATAGGGGCGTAAAACAGTACCAGAAGCAGGGTCAAGCTGTTGTTGTACAAAATTAGAACCCCCGCCAGATCCACTAGGAGTGCCAGTACCGGTGCTAGGATCCATAATTTTTCCGGATTCTATGTTAGCTTGTATCCATAAAGATTTGTGATCTTTACGTAAGTTTCTAGTTAAACCCCTCATCCCACCACTTTTTGTGTGTGCAAATTGTTGCTTACATTTTTCACATATAGCACTATTATTGACTTTATCATGTTTAAAAAATTTCTATACTGATGTTTTGGGAAGTTCAGCCTTAAGCTTACCCCTGGGTACAGGGGGTAAAGCTTCAGACCGAGATTGACTCTGAGTTGAAGCTTGTGTTGCGCGACTAGTGGATGTTTCATCTAATTCTTCTTCCTCATTTTCTTCATCCTCATTTTCTTCGTCCTCAAAAAAAATATCATTGCCAAATTGTCTTTGTAAAGTTTTATGATCTAGTTGTTCTCCGAAATTAATATTATAACATGCGGGGGGTTGGAAAAATGTAGTTTCATCAACATGAGTCATTTCATTTATATGTTTTCTAATTCTAGGAGAAGGGTTAGGATTAGGACTAGGATTAGGATTACTACAAACCTTTACTATTTTTTTACTACTTTTTTTAAACATGCCAAATACATTTTTAGGTGCCATAATTTAAATACGAAATTAAATTAAAAAGTTAACACAAAAATTAAACACACAAATGAAATATGAAAATATAACACGTAAAGTAAACACAAAAATTAAGCACTAAAATGATACGCGAAAATTATATATTAAAATTAGGAGATGGAACGAGTGCACCGTGATTAAATATTGAAACTTGAAGAAATTGCCCAAAATATTGCTCCAAATACTTGATGAATTAATTTGAAGCTTGAAAGTTGCTCAAAAAATTTGCCCCAATACTTGAAAGTTATCACTTGATAGTGAGAAAATTGAAAGAATAATATAGATAGAATATAAGAGATTTGAGAGAGGATAATTATTTTTTTGTGGGAAAAATGGAGAAGGATGGGATTTTTGNAGGCCATTTATGACCGTTTTTGGCCATTGGGAACGGCTATTTTTTGCAATTGAAGCCGTTGCCCAACAGCTAGAATTCAAAAAAAAAAAAATTTACGCGGGACAGGACGAAATGGCCGTCCCGTCCCATCCCGTGTCCCGTTTAACATTGGCCCATCCCGTTTAAAATGAAGTGGGCCTGGCCGGGACGCGGGACGGGACGGCCCGTCCCGTTGGACAGCCATAGTTTGCATTTATTAGTGCACTGAGCTTATATTGCACAATGCAAGCTTTGAGCTTGTTTCTTAAGATGTCAGATTCAAAGAGAATGTTCCATAATTATATTCCACTTACCATTCTGATGGATTGTGCCAATTCAGCAAAGTCAAGAGTTGGTCATGAAATGTTGGTAGGGTGTGAACTTGCTAATTTTACAAGCTACAATATTGTAGGAATTTTTCAACATCGTACTGGTGCAGTTATATGGGAGATAGTTCCACTTAAGACTTCTTTTGAGAGAGGACTAATCTTAGTAGCGATGGCTATGTTATGAACAATCATTGTTTAGCCTGTGCTGTGGTATGAAGAAGTGGAGCTACGGATGTGCCAAGTATTTTAATTTTCCTCAAGATTGATGTTGATTTAGTTCCAAAAGCTAAATAAGCTGAAATATGCTGTAGTTCTCTCCACTTCAACTACAATTTTCAGCAGCGATATTGCTGCAGCTACTGCATATGCATTCGACAAGAAAGGTGGCGAGGAGTCTATTTTTATTTTTTATCCTAGAGGTGTTTTTTGCTGTACCAGTTGTGAAGAAGGAGACAATGTCTTTGAGGTATCCTCGGAAGATCAGAAAACAAAAGTAAGGATTTTCAAGGTTAAGTGGTCATTTTCGTCTATGATACATCAGTCTATTGATAAAGTACCAGTCAAGTTCCTAAGAGGGCAACACTAGATCCTTATTGTTTGTAGTCCTTAAAAGTTTTCGAACTATCGGATGTTTTCTAATTTTCAAGAAGTTAGAACCACTAATTTGTTGGCTTTATGCATTCCCTTTTCAAATAATCTAGCAAGGTTTCAGTTTTAACTATGTAGCGCCACTTTAAGTTTCTGCTTCCAAGTTAGTTCTCATTCCTGTTGTTAGAGTTTTTAGGGGTTTGCAAATTAAGCCTGGTCTTTCTTAGCTACAAAAAGGTTACTATTGAAGATTATGTGCATCGATGAATGACTGAAATTCAATTTACTTTCATATCTTTATCTTGTTTTCCTTTTAGCTCCTCTTCGTTTATGACTGATTCTGTTTTAACTTTCTTCTTCTATGCAATCAGTCCATTTGTGATTGGTATATTGTGAAGTATACGAAGGCAGTACTGCAGCACCATCAGGAGAAGGGTCCGTTTTGATCGAGCCCTCAGGTTGATTGTTCATATCGCGGTTGAGTTCTCAAAATCAGAGGACCCGAGTAGCAATATATGCGCATTTAATGGTATGTTTTGTATCAAATATTCTCATCTTGTGAAAGCAAGGATATTATCCTTTGAATTGCAGTAAACAACTTTTTAGCTTTGCAATGTTTTAGCATATCGGAAACAATTATGCTTAGTTCTCTTATTTATGTTTCTGGCTGGAAAAATGGTAAATATTGCTTATTTTATAGATAAGAGTTTAAATTCTTAATGATTTCTTTTGTAAGTGTTAGATTGTCAATGATATGCGATTACTCTTTGGATTATCTGTAAGAAAAGCATTTCATTAATCACAAAAAAAGGGCAGTCCGGTGCACTAAAGAAGAAAAGAAACTCATTTATGTCTCTGCTTGTAACTTCACAGTTCACACTATCACTTTTAACCACAATCCCCAAAATGGAACAACTGATGCCATTTCAAGAAAACTTAATTTTCAGCAGCTCTCAGATAACTGGGTAAGAGTTGTTGGCTCATGTAATGGCTTGGTCTTGGTATTGAATGATGAAATGATTAAATATTTAATCAACCCCACAACCTTAGAGTACCATAGAATTGCAAACTTTCATTTGGCTATTCCCTTACCTGGTAGTTGTAGCGTGTATGGTCTAGGGTATGATTTTGCTACTGATGATTATAAGATGGTTACTCTTTCTCGATATCGAGGGCATATTGAATGTACTTTTGTTGATGTCTACTCTCTGAGAGCGAGTCCATGGAGGAGACTTCAGAGTTTACCTCATTATGGTGCAGTTCGTATGCGTGCTTCTGGTGTTTTGGTAAATGGGGCTTTGCATTGGTTGGCTAGGAAAGCTCCTGATTATTCATATGTAATTGTTGCTTTTGATTTCAGTAATGAGAAATTCTTGGAGGTGCCAACACCTGCTACTCTTGATAACAATAATTTTGTGTTTAATAAGCTTTCGGCTCTTAGAGGGTGTCTTTGTATGTTATTTGATACATTAGAAAACGAAGTTGATGTTTGGATGATGAGAGAGTATGGAGATGAGGAGTCTTGGACTAGATTTAGGATTGCTAGACTATATTTAGAGTATGGTTCGGTACCATTTTGTTCAATCAGTGATGATGATGATGTTGACTATCTACAGCATGAAAGAGGATCAATGGAGAGATTTGAAGGTTGATGGAATAACTGCCAAGTTTGAAAGAATTGGAACTTTCATGGAGAGTCTTGTCTCTCCTATGTTTATCAAGGGAACCGAGGGTTACCATATTGCTTGATGTAATATGCCGAGATGATGCTGTTCTCAGGTATTAGACTAATATTGATGTAATATGCCGAGATGATGCTGTTCTCAGGTATTAGACTAATATTGATGTAATATGCCGAGATGATGCTGTTCTCAGGTATTAGACTAATATTGATGTAATATGCCGAGATGATGCTGTTCTCAGGTATTAGACTAATATTGTCATGATTCCTTGTTCATTTTTGGTGTATTTTGCATATATATTTTTGATTTGGTCCTCATACTTGATTCAATAAAATGAACCATAGAATTTTATGAATGGTAACCCTTTGTCCTCATAGAGTTGTGTGAATGGTAATTCGCCGTCTCATAGAGTTTTGTAATGGTTATTCTTCACCCTGAAGAAAATATGCAGTGATTAATTGTATTACATTACAAAGAAATAACTTGGATTTGTCGCTTGCATTAATTCAGCATCAGAAAATAATGGTGCTTAATAAGGGGGGGGGGAGAGAGAGAGAGAAGTAGTTGCATTGTGGGCATGGGCTGTTTGAAAAGAATAGTTTATGTAAATTTTATTGTGGCTGCTTCTGTGCAATACGGTCTTTAAGCAATCTGACCGCAAGTCTTATCTAGCTGCTTTAAATACAGAAATAACATTTATGTTGCTACCTGCATGATCGTGTAACAGCCAAGATCTATGACTACAAAGAAGCAGCTACCCGCTAGTTAGTGCGTTTTTTTGGTTTTATTATGGGATAATCAAACCTCAAAGCTCTTTTGAACTCTTGATACAAAAATATGTTGTTATTTTCTGCTTCATTTATTCGCTACAATAGGATGGTATGCCGGTGATTGTCTTGTTTACCATGTAAATTATTCAAAAGCCACTAGTATTTTATTTGCATAGGAACACTGGTAGCAATTTGGATAGGTAACAGTTTCAGCAGTATTGTAAGGCTACGCCTGTTGCTATTTTCTGCTTTGTTTTTTCGCTACAATAGGATGGTTTGTCAGTGATTGTCTTGTTTACCCTGTAAATTATTCAAAAGCCACTATTTTATTTGCATAGGAGCACAGCAATTTTGATAGGTAACAGCTGAAAATGAAGGCTACACCTTTAGCCAAATCCGTTGCTTTTAATGAATGTTGCTGGTTTTCATATTTATTCTTCTGAAGTTGCTATCATGTTACTACAGGGTGACATATGCATTTCTGTTTCTTGTAATGCCAAATAATACCATTTGACACTTGTTCTATGCCTTGCACAGGAGTTAATCTGGTTCTATGAGATAGAAAGTTAGTAGAACTGTGGACATAGTCACAGAGGCTTGGATCTCAATATATTCTAGTTCCAAGGGGTTACTCCTGCAGTTTCTTTTCCTCTTTGTCCAAGAAACCTCGAGTTTATTCGATCCTTTCTTCTTGATTTTTGTACTCTCTTTTCACCAGAATTAACCGTGGTGCCCAACATGCTAAATGCGAAAAGGCACAGGTTTGAAGATCCAGCTGAAATCGAGCTCGAGCCCAAACCCTCATAGCAAAAGTGGATTATGAAATCTAGCAACTCCAGATTGGATGAGTGGGGTTTCAGGGAGTAAAAATAACGAAAGAAGTCATTTATCTGGTAGTGACTTGGTGCTAATCAATCAAGATCATAAGATGCATAAAGTTATCAGGGCTAAATTTGTATCTGGTTTGGGAGCACTAGCATCATTAATTCATATGAATGCTTGTTCCAGCTCTGTTTCACAAAGAAAGTTTTAATCTTTCCTTCTAGTTACTAAAGCCATGGAGAAAAAGTGCAATGGAATGCTAATAGGAAGGTTGGTCTGGAGCTTCCAAGAGAATCATTGACATAATTTCTAATGGTTTTGTTCAAGTTCTGCCATGGAGTTCAATTTTCTGCTCCTGATTACCTTCTTGATTGTCTCCAAACTAATATTCAAGACTAAGGCGTTTATTGATTTGCGAATTGGTACTAGGAAGATTGGAAGTACTAACTCCTTGTTCACAACAGTTTAGAGAGGATCAACTCTTGATTCTGGGGTTGACAACTTAATATCTCCAAGAAAGTATATAGTTTGGAGTAGTCGTCTGAATACGCATGTCTTCCCTGAAGTCGTGGTCAGTTTCAGAGCTTCGTCGATGAATTTCCAACTCTTTTAAAGAATTATATTTAGCAAGGATTTCCTTTGATGCTTTGTTTCACCAGATTATCAAACATCTTGCCTTCTCATGCTATCAAGTTGATAAGAAAATATCAGAATGATCATCAAAAGGGGAAGATCACTTTGTTAGGCAAGTGGCAGGAAACACTTTGTTCATAAAATCTATCTGGTCTCAGGTAACAATCACCCCACCACTTCATTGAAGCAATCATTAGACCTGGCCTTGCACTAAAAATCCCCCGTCGCAGCGCAGTTATTGCAATATTTATTCCTCATAAGTCATGGTAGTGTCAAATTGTCAATTAACTAGCTCAACGTTATTAAAAGCTATTACTTTGTACAGTGCTGCAGAAGACGAAATGATGCAACAAAATTCATGCAAAGAAATAACAATAGCGTGCAAATACAATAGTGTACGTTCCACTAAATAGTACATCAAACCAGCATGCCAACCCATGAATTCTAGTACTAACAACAACAACTACTATTATGTCTCGGTCCTAAACAAGTTGGGTTCTGATTCTAATGCTAATAGAGGGAGGATATACATCTCAACGGGATGTATAGATCTTCCTCCAGTAATATAGACCCAGGTTATTCTCATTTCAAGCTTAAAGTATGTTTCAACTTCTCCAAGATGCTAGTACTGTGCCTCAATGGAAACTTCAACTCCTCCATAGGTAAAAGATTATGTCATGAGATATTACAGGAGAGACAATATACCTTGGACCACAATATATGAACAAATGGTGCTTAATAATACGTTTACTCAAGTGAAATTTATTGGATGAGATATTGCAGGAGCTACAAATAACCTTGAAACAAATGCATCAACCCATTGGCTGCAAAGAGCACAAACATCCAAAGGAATAGAAACCATGAGATGCTGAAGAAACTTTTCCAACAAAATATATACAAGGAACGCGATAAAAATGTGCATACAACAAACGAACTTTTCCAAAGAATTGAAACTAAAACTAAATTACCAATTTTTGGGGGCATAAAGCACATCTAGTTCATCTTAAATGCACATCCTTTTTACCAGATCTTAAAAAGAAAATTCACAAAAACTCAGTATAGCATTTTGATGGGTTTTCAATGTTTTATGCTTCTTATGTTTTGATGATCTAACAAACTTGTTGTGAATAACAAGATAGAGAACCTGGCCCACATGGTATACATTTTAACTGACCTGGTTCAAGCCTGAAAACCAGCAAATGAATGAAAGACCACAGGGAGGAACACAACAGGGACCTGGTGACTTGGTCCCTTAGGGTTCTCCGACACAAGTACAAGTCAGTGACTGTCCGCAATTATTATAAAGAGGAACACAACAAAGACCTGGTCCTTTAGGGTTCTCTGACAGAAGTACAAGTCAACTGTACAGCTGGAACGTAACAGCATAAAGTGACCATCTCGCAACTGTTACAAAAGAGTAACACAACTAGGACCTGGTCCGTTAGTGTTCTCTGATAGAAGTACAAGTCGACTATCCAGCTGGAACGCAACTCCACAGAAGTGGTTGTTCAGACAGTACAATAGTCACTTCTCATTGGGAAGAAGCGTGTACCAAGAATTGACATCACTATCTATTGTGATGTCTTTTGTGACATAACAACCTGGTGCAAGGCACAATATTTTTGTGCATTCCGTCATATTCTCTCAAGCATAACAGTGTTCATCCGGCATTGAAGTCACTGTTGTATCAAAAACAAGAAGACAACTCCACTAAAGATCAGTTTCTTAATGAGTTTATGTACATCCGTAGTTGAGTTGTAATCTTGTCATTTGCTCTTCATTATTTTTCCTAGTTTGCTTTCTTAGAAGCTTTGTCTTAGAAAAAAACCAAACATCTGTAAACTTTCGAGTTTATGTTGTGACTAGGAATAGTCATAAGTTTAAAGCCTTTGTAACTAGGATAGTTATAAAGTGGCTCGTGGTGAGAGCATCACAAGTTAGTTGAAGTCTTTGTAATAGGGCTATTGCAAAGTGGCTTGTAATAGGGAGATTGCAAGGTAGTGAAGTTAAAAGCCTATAATAGTAGGTCGTGGTTTTTTTATCCCCTTGTGTGGGATTTTTTCACGTAAAAATCCTTTGTTTTCTTTACTTTCAGTTTCTATAGCATTCTCAGCACCATCTCATATAGGACCAGGTACTCTATAGTTTGGTGGACTCATACAAACTAATAATTAGTATCAGAGCAGGTTCTTTCTATAAGGTTAACACATAGAAAGGATCCCAATGACTGCTCCACCCATCTTTGAGGAAGGACAATCAACATACAGGCCTCCCAGATTCAATGGTCAGTACTATGGCTGGTGGAAGACCCGCATGCATGATTTTGTGATGGTAGAAGATTCAGAACTGTGGGATATCATTTGTGATAGTCCACATGTCCCCATGAAGAAGCTTGAAGAAACAGGACCAATGGTGCCGAAAGGTAGAAAAGAGTACAGCGACATTGATAGAAAAGTTGTAGAAAAGAACTATCGTGCCAAGAAATCTTGATGTGTGGCATAGGACCTAATGAGTACAATAGAGTCTCAGCTTGTGACATTGCCAAAAAAATATGGGAAGCATTGCAAACCGCACATGAAAGAACCACTCAGGTCAAATAGTCCAAGATCGACATGCTCACCACGGAATATGAGCTCTTTGGGATGAAGGATGATGAGTCTATATAAGATATGCACACCAGATTCACCTCCATCATAAATGAGCTTCATTCACTTGGAGATGTCATTCCCAGAAACAAGCTTGTAAGGAAAATCCTCAGTGTTCTACATGGTTCTTGGGAAAGTAAGGTAAATGTCATTATTGAAGCTAAAGATCTACAAACTCTGATTATGGATAAGTTCATTGGTAATATGAAGACATACGAGATGAAAAGAAAGAAAGATAGTAAAAGAAGAGAACCTAAGAGAAGGAAAAGAACCTGGTACTCAAAGCTGAAAGCAGTGACTCAAGTGATGAAGATAGTGGCATAGCCTATCTTACTAAGAGATTTCAAAAGATGGTTCGAAGAAATGGTGGTATACCAAAGTGGGGCAATTCAAGTAAAGCAAGGAACAACTATCTCTGTCACAGATGTGGAAAGCTAGGGCATTTTATCAAAGACTTTCTACTCGCGAAATAGGAGCAATACAAACAAAATCCTGACAAAGCAGCAAAAAGGAACCCGGTTCCAGACAAATGATTCAATCAAAAAAGTATTGCTGACAATATTGTTAAGCAGGCTCTTGCTGCTTGGGGAGACTCCTCTAGTGAATCCGAAAGGGAACCAGATGCAAAAAACAGTTCCATGATGGTAGTGGAAACTGAAGCAAAGAAGTATGATTCACTGTTCGCGCTGATGGCTCAGTCTGATGATGATGAAGAAGATGAAGACGATGAGGTAAATTTCAGGGATGTTCAGAGAAATCTGAAATCCTACTCTTCTAAGAAGCTAAGGTCGTTATAAAATATCCTCATTGATGCTTATTATAGCCTTGTTAATAATAAGGAGATCATGACCATAGAACTAGGAGAGGCCAAGCAATCTAGAGATGATCTGGTGGTCTGTGTAGTGGACCTAAATGAGACCATAGCTAACCTTGAAAAAGAAAAGGAAGCCTTGAATGAAAGAGTAACTAGTGTGGAAAATGAGAGAGACGACCTGATGGTAGTAGTTGTTTATTTAAAGAAACAATAGAAGGTTTTAGCAATGAGAAACACATCTTAAAAGGAAAAATTGCAACTACTGAGGAAGAGAGGGATGACCTTTTAGTGATATGCACTGATCTAGAGGAAACCATTGAGGGACTCAATAGAGAATACAAAAATGTGAGTCTTGGGAAAGGGAAGGAAGTAGCTAGTGAGACACACATCTTGCTTGAAAAGGAATTAACTGTTGTGAAAAACAGCCTATGTAGTGAACTCGAGAAGAATCGACAACTTCAAGCTGAATTGGAGAAAGTAAGAATTGATCTTGAGAAATCTCTGAAATGGACCTAGTACTCAGATGATGTCATTGCCATGTATCTTAACAATAGTGGAAACAGGTAGGGCATCGGGTTCCAAAGGGAGAAAACTCCTTACAACCCTCACAGCAAGTATGTCACTGTCCCTGATAACTGGCTATGTACCCACTGTGGAAAAAATGGGCATTTTAAAGAAAATTATCAGGCCAGGGTTTAGTCTGTTCAGAAAAATAAAGTGTTTACTGATAAAGTGACTACTAACAAAGGACCAGGTACCACTCGCAAGAAGCAGATGTTGCCTGCATGGACTAGGAAAACCCTTATTCATCCTTTCTATCATAACAAGGGACCCAAACTAGTTTGGGTTCCTAAATCTAGCCTTTGATTTGCATGTGTAAGGAACAGTGAGAGGAACCAGACTGCGATGGACTATGGACTGTAGATGCTCAAAGCACGTGACTGAAAACATTATGAAGTTTTTCTCACCGAAAGCCCTACAGGAATGGGAATGTATCCTCAAAAAGAAAGGAGAGGGTACATTCTCAGTAAATATAAAGTTGGAAAGTTTTTTTTGGCACTCAATTGGGAACATGTACTATATGAATGGCCTAAAGTACAGGCACCAATCTGATAGATGGCCGAGTGGTCTCAGTGGACAAAGGAAACAAGAACATCCACTTGGTCGACCATTAATCTCCAAAGGTGAAGTCGGAAAATTGGCATGAAATATTGGTGTATGCAAGCTTCTCACCTCCAAATAAATTAACCCAAAAGGACCTGGTACTTGGTCTGCCAAACTCAAGAGTCACCTAGACACGGGTTCATAAAACAAAGGATGAGACTCTCGAGGTGTTAATGGTTCTTGTCAAGAAGATTCAAGTGAAAAAAGGGGGTCACGCACAATTTCTCTATACCAAGGACTCCACAGCAAAATGGTATTGCTGAAAGAAAGAACAAAACTAGAAGATGTGGCATGGACAATGCTCATTGACTATGGAATCGCCAGGAAATTTTGGGCAAAAGCAGTAAATATTGCTTTCTACTTGGTGAACAGGTGTCTGATCAGGTCTCTTCTGAATCAAAACCCACTATGAACTGACAAATGGAAGAAAATGCCTTCTTGAATGAAA